TCACCCCCGTCGACGCTGTAGCGCAGCTGCTCCATCACCGCGTGGGGGTCGCTCGGGACGACGTGAATGCGGGTGTGGGTCGTGACGGAGCCACTCCCGGGGATGATTTGGGGGGGAAGAAGGGCGGGCCGCAGGTGGGTCGCCCCTTCTATAGGGGAATAAAGTGATAGCGGTTGGGGATTGGAGTCCTTCACTGGGGGTTCACAGCCTGCAGGGTGGGTGCTTGGGTTGTCGTAAAGGTTGGTGGACTCGTGTATGTTAACGTTTTTTATTATTGAAAGAGGCTGCTTGTTGGGAAAGTTCTCTGTGGACGGTGAAAAGGAGACGGTAGGATCGTCTACGGTGATGATATTAAAAACAAACTGGTGGACGGCCCCTACCATCTCGGCCTTCGGGTGCACCGTGTGTGCCTGTATAGTGTACTGTCCTGGCATGACAAACTCGAGGGGCCGCGTGTAGCGTAAGAAGACGTCGCTGTATACCGAATCGTTTCCCAGCAATTGCACAATGTTGCTTTGAGTTCTGCCGCAGTGGTAATTGTCATGAGAAGCAATAGAGACATCCTGAGTGACTGATACAGGAGTGATACCAGAATCTAAAAATGTAATGTTTATGAGGATATCACACTCTGAATCCAGTTTTGACGATGATGTTATTAATTTAAGTATGACTACACAAGGACTAACGTGCGTTCCTGCGGCAGGTTGTGTCGTCAGTTCCCTTACAGTTAGACGTCTAAAGCCTGAAAAAAAAACTTCGCTTTCTTCTGAACTGATGTCCAACTCATATTTTAAGTGCTTTCCGTTCCGCAAGCGACGAAGTAGATAAATGCTGGCTATTACAATAACTATAAGCAAAATAGCGCATAAAACCCAAAGGACGATTATTTCGACCTTATGCGACATTGTTAATTGGGAAAAAAATAGTTCCAATGCTCCAAAATATTTAAAACTTTGCCCGTGTCTTTTGATTTTATTCTAATATTAAAGGGGAGTATGAGTTCTCCCTTTGGGAGAATATTATCCAATAATTGGTCCCTAAGAATATGATGGAAAGGTAAACAAGTAGATAATAACTATCACATAAAGTATTCACATAACATACGGAAAATTTAACATAATCTATCGGAAATAATTGTACATTGGTCGCAGATACAACCTGCTCATTATTAAAAAAAATTGTCACAGGAACAGCAAGTTCTTTGGAAAAATGGAAATTTAGATGTTAATGAGTAACCTAAATGCTACAAAGTGTGTTATAAAGGGAATCTCTCACACACGTTAGTGTGACCTTAAAAGACATCAATAGACTAAGAAAATATTTAAAACGCAAACTTTCTAGCTCCATTAACTGACCTATTAAACACCTACACTACAACAGTTCACCTATGGAATATATCCATTGGTCCTCTTTATTCCCCTTTTAAATATCAGCCCCTTTGCACCTGCCGGAGGAGAGCCTTAGCTTGCTGCAGAAGATCTTTCTTATTGCGAAAGCTGAGACACACAGAAGATGCGGCAGCATCAGAAGGCGCTAATAAAGGAGAAGCAAAACTTGTATTAAAAGATCGTGATCGACCCTCCTCGGCACTGGTTTGCAGCCTAGAGTGTGTGTTCCTAGGGTTCTCATCACGAGTACTACAACTAACCCCCTCCCTATAGTTCCCTACTCTAGCCCCTACTTTATCTATGCATTTATAACTATTGTTTTCAGTATGCAAAGCCATGTCTCGCTTATCAATCCTTTTTTCCGCAGGTGCCTCCCCGGGGAGGTTCGTCCAGGAGGTTGTGGTGGTCCCAATGTCCTCTTCACGATGAAGGTGTAAAAGTACCCGTTTACGATTCGAAAGTGCTTTTTCCTGCAATGCGAGCCTCTCGATTGGCTCCCGCACGGAGGGAGAAAGACCGATCTGTGTGGCCACCAGGGCAACCCGCTCCCTTTCCTTTGCAGTGTAGACATTGTCGGCAACACATGCACATACCGCGTCGTAGAGCAAAATCCGTGAGAGTGCCGGTGGGAAAGCTTCTCGAGAAATGAATTTCATGGCAAGCTCTAGGTTAGATCGAAACAAGGCAACATCGTTGTTGCCCCTCATAGGCATATTGGGTATGGGCTCTTTAGTTGAGCACATAATCTTTTGGGGAAAGTTACCACATTCTTGATGATCCACATCCCGTGAGAAAAGGAAAGACAGTGCATTTCCCTCCGCATCCTCTCCTTTGGATAAACTTTCAGGTATTTTAGAAGTTCCATTCCCATCCATGCAAAACGTGTCTTCCGTATTGTTCGGTAGTCGAGAAGAATCCGATCGCGAGGATACAGGCTGACGCGGTGGCCCTGACATCAGCGGAACCGAATCCACATACTCTAGGAGCTCCCGTTTGATTCCAACATACGAGGTTTTACATGGAAGCAATACATCCACAAGCCCACGAATGTAGTGCATTTCGTCGTAGTGAAGGCCACCTCCTGTAGCACACATAAAAAGGGTCTTAACATATAAATATGGCATTTGATAGGTCCCAATGTTCGGGCAGTACTTCAGACCATACATATTGTCGTAAAGGAAAATCCTACCGATGACGGAGGCATACGTATTCCGAAAAACACACTGGTATTTCAACATTCATATGTTGACAAGAATTGGCATATTCTATCCATAAAAGGATATAATTAAAGAATTCATGAAAGAGAAAAAAGTGGAATATGACATATTTTGAAAACATGTACAGGGTGTGATTCGTGCATGTATTTTGAGAAATGGGGCACCATAAGTTGACTACCTGAACCATTGCACGCTTACTTGCATATTGGTATCCCCTTCTGGGTGTCTTATTTCTGAAAGTAAACGCAATAGAAACAATAAACACTAAAAGCTTCAGCAAACCTCGCATTGCTCTTTACACTCCATATAGCAAAATGCATGCAATGAGGTATATATATGAATATATATATATAATACATTCAAAAATATATAAAATGAAATATACTTCCGTCAATACCAATTATTCCTATGGATAGACAAAAGTATTAACAAGAAAGGAAGTGGGAAGTCCATATATGTGTTTGTGTACATATAATTGTTATACAGAACTTCGACACCCCCTCCTCATAAGTTTAGATGTTGCTGTGGAAAGCAAAACTCAAACCAGGCTAGGATGGAATCTCTTATAGAAATCCAGAAGTCTAGACCGCTAACTCAATAACTTGAAGATAATATCTCATGTGGTTTGGTCATGCATCACCTGAGATTGATGCTAAAGGTTCTTTTGGTTGATTTCAAGTATATAAATGGTTATCTACTTGTTTTTAATAGAATTACACGAATCCCTCAATGTCAGAGTTAGTTTACTATTTCATTCAATACAAAGATATCAAAAGCTAGATAACAAATAGTAAGGAATACTTGACATCGAATTAAATAGGCTACAAAGTGCAGAGAATTCATGATCTTGATTTTGCTCGTATGCCTTGAGATTAATCTGCTTTTAAAATTAAAATTCTGATGGCTTTATTGACGAAATAAACGCACTATTAAATACACTGCGAATGATGCATCTGAAAATAACATAATTTACCCACACATATAGTAGAAAATAAATTAAACCTTAATTTACATTCCTCTAATGAGAATAATTTGTAGTGATAATTAATTTTCACTATAGTTTTTGCATAGAAAATTATATGATCAATGGTTTAGTGAATTTAAATAAAAATGATACGTAGAGAAATATACAATTTTTTCTCATGTAATAAGAAAATTAAATTAAAGTACGTTGATAGAATTATTTCAGCTCAATTTCAAATATCCAGCACTAATGCCTAAAGTATATATAAGGAAAATAGTTTAAAAAATTAATGTTACAAGCAATAATGAACTGATTCTGAGTGAATAAACAAAAGTACTAACGAAATCAAATCTCAAAACTATGAGTTACGCAAAACAGACAAATAATTTCTATCATATTTGTCTACACCACAGAATAATATCGAGTCAAAATAATATACACCATAGTTACGGGAATAAAATAAATTCCATAAGCTCTTCAACAGAACAAGAAGGCTATAAAAAAAAATCAGCTTGCATATGATTTTTTTCCTACATCATGATAGAATATGCATACAAGCTCTATGTAAATACTTACAGGTTAATATCATTATTAAAATATACGTTTAGAACTTCAGCACACGCTTCAGAAAAAAGAGTCAGGATGAGGTTAAGGGTGACAATAGCTTCCCACCTCCTCTCTTTAGTTTTTCATAGTCAAATCTGGTATATTTTTTATATACTATAAATTAACTACACAATAATAATTTAGCAATACTTCGTCAAGTCATAATTAGAGGAGTTAATACTATAAAAGACGCTGAGCGTCTTAAGCTAGCTTTTCGAGAAGTAAATCCTATGAAAACATTTCCTTTAGGTGTTAACCAAAAAACAAAGAAATGGATAAATAAAAATGGCATTACGCTATACATTCAAACTCTATGATGAATGAATGAATCTGGAACTGGGGACAAAATATTATATTTGAAAACAAAGCAACTATAATACTAAAGACAGATTAATAACATAAATACTCATAGAATGAAAAGAAAAAACTCACTTTAAAATCCTAAATGGAGCTTTATAAGGTAAGTGCGTTTAATTTAGAACAACACGAAATATTGCTTTATTTGTATTATATTCGAGTAAATTTATGGTCTATCTTTAGGTTCAAATACAAACCACACAAGGGGAACGATACAAAAAAATACTTTCCACTCAACCAGATTTCGCATCATAATTTGAAGACATTATTATTCGTGCTGATAATTCCTTTTTCTTAGCCCTGAAGCAGGCCCCCGTAATTGCATTCGTTATCCACTAACAGCAAAGGTGGAGGCAATATGTGCATTCCATTAAAGTCAACAGAAAGGGGAAAAATACATACATCAGCCATCGCTCTCCCCCTTTCCTTCACTCTCATCACGATCCGATCCAATGAATCCCTCACCTATGAAGATAAATTTGAAATCTGCGGCTAGCATGCGATACCTTTCCTTTTTGGAAAGGAATGCATCACACTCCTCCTCAAGTTGGTCCGTGTGGCAAAAATATCTACAAAGTAAAAGAATTATTAAGGATGTATCCTTGCAAATTCACATCCTCTCCCTCTCTTTTGACGGTGCATTTTTTTTAGGATGTAGGACGCATAGAAATACTGATCGTCGAGACGGTGTGGTCGTCCGGGGGGGCCGAGATGAAAGGCTGCCCTGGCGTGTTTCCATTCACCCCCTCTCTCGGTCTGAGAGGGTAAACGGAGGTCACGTCAACCCCGGACTCGGGGCTGCACGAGTCCACCTGAGAGCGCCCCGCGGTGAGGCTCAATGTGTCAAAGGGCTCCCGGTGACGACTCTCAGAACAGGGCAGGACCCGTCGCAGGATCTCCGAAACGGACACGGAGTTCCGCTCCACCATCGGGGAGGATCGCATCCGGGCCCCGTTGGCACTACCAGACGAAGGGAGGGGGTGGGGAAGCCCTTCGGCGCCTTTCAAGGGGGAATCCATAACCCCTAGGTTCTGAGGCATCATGGTGGAGTGGAATGGGGTGCTGTCCGGCCCCCGCGACAGGGGCTCAGGGCTCCCATAAAGTGGGATGGGAGAGATCGTCACATCGCTGACGCGCACCGTCCGCGGGGTTGACGGATCCCGCCTCACCTCCCCAACGACGTCACAGTAGTTGGTAAAGCTGTGGACGGAGGTCTGCAAAGGCGGAGTGAGCCCCATCCCCAGATCGCCTTTTAGGCTGAGAAGTTGCGTCAGGGGGACTCGGAGGTCGTCGGGGTCATTCGTCAGTGCCCCTTGTGATGGTCCTGAGCCCACGCCGATACGTTGTCTCAGAACATAGCTGTCCCTAGCCATCCCTTCCAACACATTAACTCCATTAGGCGCTAGGCAAACCGAAATCTGCATAAAGTTCGCTAAATACTTCAGGTTAATCTCAAAAAAATCATCTAGTACGCGACCTGTGGCAAACAGTTCGCTTTGTATGATTTGGTTATAATAATAATCAAATATTTTACGTTTTTCCTCAAATTTTAGCTCATTTCTGCCCATTCTTTGGACCTGTTTGACATAGCGCTTGCTTTCGCTCAAAGGCCTCCTCAGTTTTCCGTACTTAACCTCCTTACGCATCACGTCATGCTTTAGAGATACAAGCTTCTTTAAAAGAGCTGCAACCTTCTTTCCAATTTCACACGCACTTGTGGTCAGCTCATTTACTTTCTTCAGACGAAGCAGCGTGCCCGTGAAAATACTTTTCTTGTACTCTAAAAATTTACTACCCTCTTTGATCTTATTCATCTCTTCCTGGAGAACTTTGGTGGAGTTCTGAAGCTCAAAAAGATAGTCCCTCGAGGGGGGTTCGGTGGAATTCGCATCATTCACCTGGTTTACCTTTACTGGTATGTCGTTATTTTGTACAAACAATGTCAACTCTCGGTAGTTTCGCATAATTTGCGAAAAGAGTGAAGTGCCCTTGAGAATCGACTCTGGAAATCGCTTGCTATTATTAATAATCTGTTTAATGATCTTGGAAAAGAGCTTTATTCGCTCATAGGACGCAATAAAGTTGCACTCGCTGTTGGATGAAGGCCAGCTGAGAGAATTCTCCATTTGAGGTTTGGTATAATAATCTGATTTGGATTTTGTAAGATTGAATTGTATCCAGAGAAACAAAGAACAATAAAAAGTAATAATATAATGATAGCTCTGGGCACACCTAAAATGTGTATCCCCTTCGATCGTCAATATTTGTATGCGTATGTGCTAAGAATACTCTTCCCTTTTAGCTTTTCAAAACAAAGAAATATTTATTAGTAAATTATTAGTTTGGAAGGGAAAAAAATTAAGGTAAAGGGAAATCATACTCCAGCTGGCTTTAACTGTAGACCATATAACACACCTTAAATGGTTGTTGCCGGTATCGTGCATAAACACACTCGATATTTAGAAACAACTCATAAAATAAAAAGAAAAAATTCTCCTCAATATAGATGTACACAGAATAAAATTGTCCTAAAAGAATGTGGTTGAGCTATATATATAGATATATATATATAGCCGGTAAAAAAAGTCAACTTTGAGGTTCATGCCTCTAAGGTTCTTTTCAACTTCCTCATTCCATTCAGGCTACTTCTTGTTGTAGAAAATAAAACCAAAACATTGTCGCTAGTATGAAAAAAAAAAGAAGCATTAGCTGGACGATTCAGTACACAAGTAAAACAGCGATATCTAGCAAAATGATGTGAATGCTTTTCAGATGGAGTTGTAAACCTGTAAACATATGGGAATATATGTAATTTGTTTCTTGGATGCACACACAGCATTTTGGGTCACATTATTTTCCAAGTTTGGGCAAATACTAATAGTTTGCATCGTGTTGGCATTGTTATGCTATTCATCAGCAATTCTCGTTTATGATTTTATACGAGTGAAGATGAACATATAAACGGCACTACATCACCAACACACGGTGAAAAATGACAGTAGTTACTTCGGCATGGAGTTGAAATTATTTGTTATTTAAATATTTGAAGCCACCTTCTCATTTTTATTGACCAGCTGATTGGTTTATATTTTCCCTAAATTGGCTTCTCCTTATGGTTTCTATTTCATCTTCTTTTTCATTAGGCGTTCTACTTACCTTGTTCATCACGGCAATGTGCATTGAACTTCATAACAAAGCAATATAGTTTTATTATCTTCATATGCACAGTATCACACTAAGTTAGAACTGGTGTTTAACCTTTACCATTTGATAATACTAAAGAATATGTAATACGCTTAAAAGTAAAAAGATTTGCCCCAGATTCACAAGCCTCATAAAAAGGTAAAGAGGAATTAATCTTTAAGATTACCCCTTTTAGCACATAAATTGATTGATTGTTGCTATTTAGATAAATGTTACTGATTGAATTCGTCTTCAGCATTTGAGCCCTTTATTGGGCAAATTTTAGTGAAGTTATGCCGTATGATTCTTCAACCCTTTCCTCTCCCCCTCCCCCCCCCCCCCCCTCACACACACGCACACATACAGAAAGCTTTGTGATTTTGATAAACAAGGGAGTTAAGGTTGTAACGGCAAACGAAAAAACAGCAAGGTAATTTCGTATTCTCGATTAATAATTAGCGCTTTTACAACTTTAAGTCTATTCTACTCTTCCCTTTAGATTCCAATACCCGATTCCACACGCGCCTTGACACCAATCTTCTCCAGCATTCCCCCGACAACTTGTGCTGTAGATTTCTTCTTGCTAACGATGTCAAGGTTGGAGGCAGTGCTCTGCTTGTTAGCCATATCGCCCGCACTCCCCGACGCTGCTGCGGACGTGAAAACATCGATGATCGGGTTTCTCAGCAGTGGTGCGCCGTTTCCCACCCTATGCATATCCTCATCTTTCTTTGGATTGCTGTCATAGGGGACGCCGCCCGTCTGTTTGTCGTTCGATGCATCGTCGAAATCGGAGTGGGGCTTACGCTTCCCGCCCCGTCTCATACCACTGCTACCCTTCAGTTGTCGCTGGTTGCTTCCCGTATCCCTGTTGTTCAACCCGCTACCGTTGTCGTTGCTGCTTCCGCTTTTATCCCTATTCAAATCATTCATCGGCTCCTTCCTGATAGTAATAATACCAGTGTTGATGGACAAGGAAGAGATGGGCCTGGTGGATGATAACTTGTCATGCTCAGTGTCTGCACCGTTTCCCGATGTTTTTCTGTCAGACGAGCCTCTCCGGCGACTGTTCCTATTCCCACGTCGGCCTTTGCGGGTAGACTGGAAGCCAGAACCGTTCCCATTAGTGGTATCCGCCAACGCCCCCGCTCCGGCGGTCTGAAGCGGGGTGCCCGAATTGCTTTTACTACTGATTCCCAACACCGTGGTAGTAGGTAAGCTGCTGTTCGTCATGACGCTATTCATAATGCTGTGTGTGAAAATGGAATGACTACCACTATTTCGAGAGTTCCCTGAGTTAGTGAAGGAACTCCCATTGGGCGTGCCGATGCTGTTGGTGCCTCTGGCCCCAGCCCGGCTAAGCATCTCCCGCTCCTTATGAAGCTTCACCCTGAGGACGTTCCGAATTGTAACCGCGTCCTCCATCTCCGAGGGGTGGGGCTCCAGGCCCCTGAGAGGCCCCCCACGGCCCTCCTCCAGGCCAGTAAGGAGCAGCGGAAAGAGGGGGTGCGAGGCACAGATGTTCAGGATGGGAAGATGCGCCGGGTCTGGGCTCGGAAGCCATACCCCGGGCTGCCCTGGGGCCGTGGTCAGGGCGGAGAGGGCTGAACTGGCGGCCGCCATCGACAACGACCCCGTCCCACCGCTGTAGTAGTACTGCTGGATAAAGTGCGCACAGAGCGAGAAGTCGGAATTGCTGATAAAGGTCACAATCACCGGGGACTGACGGCAACGTGATGAGATCAGAGGGGAACTCGTGCTAAGCCCAACCCGAAGCTGCGCCACCTTGAGTTTGATATGCTGCTCGGAGTTGTTGGGATTGGAGCGCAGCGTAGACTCGATCGTGAGCTCACTGTCACCAGTAGTGTGAAGTATTTGAATGAATTCCGCCCACTCCTGCTCTGTGAGTGACTTCTGGGGTGGGTAGTATTGAACGAGAACATCGATATCCATGAGGTCCACAGCAGTACAAGTATCCCAGCCAATAAGCAGTGCTGACATTTGAGTTTTGGACTGCGTGAAAGAGAGAAGCAAGCTGTGTTGACGATCCGCAGTATCGCTGCGCAGAAAGAAATACTGGCGGCTATCCACAGTATTAACATGGTTTCCGCTGGAGAAGGTAGTGGTGGTGTTAGCGGCAACAAAATCTGTGCTAGTCGCCAAACCAGAATCTGAATTTGTACTATCAAAAAGCCCACTAGCCTGGATTTTAGAGCTCAGCTGACGAATATCCTTGTGATGTGTCAGTAGAAATGCCCGGCGGAAGGCGTGGGTTTGCTTTAGAATCATCTGCAGCTGCTCCTCGCGATCCTTGTCGTCAAGGTAGAGTAGGTAGCGCATATTAATATTTTCCATGGGCGATGTCGTGCCCGTCCCGCAATGTGCCAGTGAGGCTGAAAAAGATGAAATGTAGTTGTTCGGGAGCAATGGATAGTGGCGCCGGTTTCGACGGCTCAGCCTGCTGCGCACCATCGGTGAAAGAGAAGAAAGAGGACCCAGACACAGCCACATAAAATGAGGAAGAAGGTGAGTGATGGTGATGAAACGCGAGTGTGCACGCTCTGCTACATTTAGCATTCCTCCAATAATGTCATGCCAGCTAGTCTCGTCTGTTGTTCCGGGATGAAGCCCACCGATGTCCTCAGCCACCAGCGCAGCAATGTGAGGCACCACTCCAACAAAATTCGTCAAAAACCTATCCCTCGGCCACTCGTTCTCATCAGAATTAACATTATCAGTGCGATTTCGAAGAACTAAACTACGCGCAAAATCCGGCGAATTCCACATCAAGAAACTCTTCAGCGTGGCGATAAGCAGAAAACCTGAACCGGCGTTGTCGTCATTGTTTCCGGTGGGTACTGAAAAAGTACCCTCTTCCGGGGTCTCCCTACCATTCCTTACTCTTATAGCATTATCCATAGCATCAATAAAGGACTCGCCATGCCGTACTAAAGAAACACCGATTCTGCAGCGGATTCCCACCTTCTTCGCCAGCTCATACAAAGGCCCCACCGATGTATCGTTGGCGGCCAGCAGTATACTCACCTCGACACCCCTCGCACCGCCGCCGCCGATTCCACCCCGTTGGTTTCTAACACGGCTGGTGAGATTTGTGAGGAGGCAGTGCACGGCGTACAGCGTGGTCAACACCTGTCTCTCGTGGATCGCCGCGGGTGTCTTATACAACGGTAAGCCATGCCCCCCAGGAGTATTCAAGGCGTTGCTATTGTAAAGCCATATCGCAGCTGCAGTACCCACTGTTGAGCTGCCTGTAGCACACCGTCCATCAACAAGCACATCTGCGAAATCGGTAGAAGTGCGCGTCAAGACGGTGTTTAAAAGTGCAGTTTGCTCCAAAGAAAGGTCCTGAATGGCGTTGTGTAAAGTCTGATGTAGCCTCAACTGTTGAATAGTGCAGTCCATAGTTGATATGTCAGATTTACTATGATAATTCTTTGTCTTTTTGATTCAGCCACTTTCAGAAGCAACCTTTTTGCTCTCTTTTTCCTTCTTTAGGAGAAAAATTGTAATCTAAATATTATACGTGAATATGAAGGATATTTGGAGCCTCCTTCGGATATCGTAGTTCACACAGTATAAAAAAAAAAAGTAAAAAAAGAAAATGTTTAAGCTGTTGTCTTAACCACCGCAGTTAGAGCAGTATTAAGCTGATAGCTAATGGGGATTGAAAAAAGGTGCTTTTTTCAGTTGTACAAGAGTTCCATGCTCAGCAAAGAGTAGTATATAAAAAAAAATTTGAAAGTATTGCTCAAATATACAAAGAAAATGCTTCAATGATCGACATAGTGCAACAAAAATATATACATAGTAAACAATAACTGTGGTAGGTACAAGTAGATTGAATATTATAAGTTTCAGATATCGCAAACAAAGAGGTAGACTGAATATTTCTAATAAGATATTGAAAATGCTTGACTTTTTGATGCGCTTCCTAATATTAACATTTTATTGAAGGAAATTGATAAAAAAAACTGAAATGCTTCACTGAAAAGGCTGGAGTATGGTCTGTATTGGGATGTTCCAAACGTCCTCGTCCTTTTTTTACGTGAATTTGTCTGTTCTCTATAAACCAGACTAAATTATATATTCAAGATCCACAATCCTGATACACACCCTTCATAGTCCAATATATGCTTTCCCAGCTCCACGCTTTGACGCCTCCAACCATTCATTCAGCAAAGCATGATATGGTATGTCAGGCGAGCAATCTTTTTCCTGTTGCATCTGTAACTCAGTCGATATCACTTCCGTCCCATTTGCCATCCACTCACCAGGTTGCGTGTCATATTGCGTGTCAACTTTGCGGTTGAGGGGAATTGGCGTAGAGGAACGGAGGTCATGCTCAGAGGGATCTTTTCCTAAAGATAGAGACAATGCGTCGGATGACAAGCCTGTTTGGTGATACGCCTCCGATGAGGCCGCATTTGAGGTCAATCCTTGGCTGTCTACCGGGGATCCAGGATACCCAGGAGCCTTCACCCGCGGCGTCCCTTTCAGGCGCCAGAGCCTTGAATTAGCGGAATGCCCGCCCGTCATCGCTGTCCCAGACAGGTCCTCCGCGCGGCCCGAAACTTGCCGCTCCAAGGAGTTCCCTCGCCGCCGCGCACAGGACTCGGCCGGGCGTGATTCCGCGCATGAAAGGCCCCCCTCACGATCCCCTCGCTGCACCGCGCGGCGCCAGAGCTGCGTACAGCCTCCCTCCTCATGGTCTTGGACGAACGCTGTGGGGCCACCTCCAGCCAGCATGGAGTCCCGCACGTGGTGGATCATCGCGACGTCAGAGGCCGAGATGCTCTGCCATGGCGGATGCCGCGCCGAGGAGGCCCGGGGGGGCGGGCCGGGTTGCCTCTGGCTCGCGTTGATGAGGTAGCCATCGTAGGAAGTCGACATCAAAGGTGGAAGCAACGCACGCGGCACCGTCCGCATCAGCTCCCCAAGGGTAGGGGGGGGAAAGGGATGTCCACGCATCAGTGGCATCCGCGTCATGCGCGTCCGATCGTTCTCCTCTATGCTCTGACTATCGTAAACCCCCCAGTCAGACCCTCCCGTCTTGGGAGGGTGGCCGCGCTGTAATTTCACCCCACACTCGTTTGTTAGGATTCGAGCCCCCGCAAACGACTCCGCGGGTCGAAAACGGCTAATTGTCGCCACACGATTCGAATGAACATTGTTATACCAGTTATTCAATGATTTGGTAGTCCGGATGGCAGGCTTTACTTCGATTAAATGCCGCAAAAGAGTTTGGTTCGCCCGTTGGATGGACTCAGCACTCTTTCGACGTCTTAGCCATCGCCGTTTTGCCTGCTCTGCTCTACGTCTAGTCATTTCAGATTTATCGCCCGTGTTTCCATATAGTTGCTGTGCACAGCGCACCGAGTCCCTAGTACTATCAATAAGATGGTTTAAAAGCACTTGATTCTTTTTGTACAAGTCTTTTTCCTCTGCCTTAACTAAACGCTTGTAGCGACTGCTAGCTCTACCGAAAGGGTCCGATCTCCTCAAGGTTTCTCCGCCATGTTCCTCTGCAAAGTCCGCATCCATGGTATCTTTAATCCTTTTGGATGGACCCAAGCGGATACGTGCCAAACGCTCCATGTGGGAAAGATGCATCATCCCCACCTCACGCTCTGAAGTAGTTAAGCATGGCCGGGTGGCGGACGGATTGCGTTGCGAAGTAAATCGCGGCACAACGCTCATATGACCAGAAATAATAAATAAATGCCCTTTTTACACCCTCCCTCAGCAAGACACGTTTCTTAAGGTTTTTCTATAAATCCTGTAAAAAAAAAGGTGTGGAAGAAAAAAAGTCACGGTTATTGAAGCCGCATCGCACCCCTTCACCAGAAACAACGGAACTTTATCTCAGCGATTTAACGTGACGGGTAAAAATGGTTTATCCCGCTTCAATAAATAATGCAGTTCGTGGTGGGAATGATAAAAATATACGGCGCGGAAGGGCCCCACAGATGCCCCCCACACACCCTACACACCCTTGAGCTGGAAGATGGGCTTGCCCACATCATTTTTACCAGAGTTTAGCAAAAAGAAGAGTTTATATGAACCCCAATGAAAGAACCTACGCTCGACCAAGGTTCTTTCCCTGTTAGAAAAAAAAGCCAAAAATCTTTTGAAGAAAAGTGAATGCACATTCCGACTGAAACGCTGATAATAACTATAACAAAAAAAAACGATGCCGTACTTTCATTGTGCACTACTCCAACCCTTCAAAATTAGTCCATGGAGAACATAAAATAAAGATAAAACAATTTTTATCTATGATAAATAAGAAATCATTCAGAAATGGAATGGACTTGCCTCCACATTTTTGGGTAATAATTTAAAAATGGCTTGTTTTATCATAATGTTTAGAGAAGGAATGTGCTTATAAAGAATGAGTCTTCTGAAAGTGTAATGCTTCTCCTTTTCCAATGTTGAATCTATGTGAATGAATATGATCTATTTTCACTACACCAGTCGACGGCGTAACGATGGCATCGACACGGGCGTCTTCATCGTTCACACACCCCCATAAGCTATCTACGTCTTCGAAATTCCATTCCCCATTCAAAACTTGCTGATCAAAACCAATACCAATAGCCTCCACGGTTATATGTTTTTGAACCTCTATGTCGGAATCACTATTTATTCGCATATTTTGAGGAGCCGGTACAGGTGTCATCCTATCATTTTCGATCTGATGTCGCATATAGTTTAAGAAGCGATCGTAAAATCCACCACCTTTTCCCAGACGCAGGCCTCCAAATCTCTGAAAACACACTCCAGGGGTAAGCACTACAACATCCACATTTTTGACCTCTGAAATCCTATTAAAGAGATTACTCCTTTGCATGTCGATCGATTCAACATTAGGATTGTTCTGGGGCATTTGAAAACTCCTGTGATGCCAAAAACTATTCCCCCTGCCCCAGAACCGTACAAGTCCTGGAGGTGGTAAGTGCTCTGGAAACATATTCTCCCAGTCCTCACATGGTAAAATTAGCCGTGGATGCCGTGAGTTATGACTTGCTATACCTGGGAACTCATTGCCGTGATTTTCCAACCCATGGTTTGTGGCGTGCTCTCTCACAAAAAAAGACTCAAATTCATCATTTTTCAGCTCACATAATTTCATTGGGCCACGAATTTCAAAAGAGTCTTTTAAATCCTTCGCGTCATAGAGCTCCACAAATGTCATTCCTCGGTGTAGTCGTTTGTGGGCATCCGCAATAGGGTAATGCCACTCGGCATAAGGTGCTGAAAAACCTTCTTGAAAGTTTGTTTCCCCTCGCTTCGGCATCACACCATTGGGATCCACGACCGTTGGCACCATGGTATAGAGTTCTGTATGTGCAATAGCAGAGTAAGATGTCTCATCAAGTTTTAAATCCGTTTGATTCTCCTGACGCCAAGACCAAAGCCGTTTCAGTAGAGGTAAAAGATCGACTTCGTAATACAATGGAAGAGTGGCACAAACATACAACTGCCGCCTTTCCACAGAGAAGCCATTAGTTCTTAGAGGCACCACAGACGCTCCCGAAGTCCCTCGATTTTTGTGAACATAACGCTCATGTTCGTCATTCTTTGTAAAGAGGTACTTGTCGTATAAATAATTAAACAGAGTATCACATATTGCAATGGAATATTCCTGACGTTCGTCTGGATACGAAAGAGCCCATGACCGAAGCTTCTTTAATAAACTAGAGCGCATTGCCCGCTTGGCGGCAAAACAGTCGAACGACTTTTTAGTGAACGAGAGCATACCTACAATAAAACCATGGAGTGAGTGTACTTGAAATGCCTTCAAAGTTTTGATGTTACCCTCATATTATACTGTAAGCAAAAAGCATCGAGCCTCATTAAAGTGTGGCGAAAGAAGTAGAGCTGATATAAGCTTGCTATTTTCGTAATGACTATTTCACACTGTGTTTCACGGCTATGGTATTACATTTGAAATACAAGCAAAATAAATTCCACGATAGATTTCAGTATCATAACGCAGATGTATATAAATATATATATTTATTTATTTATAAACGTACCTATGAATGCATGTATGTATATATATAAAAAGAAGGAATACAATGATTTTCATTATCTTAGGGTATCCCTAAGTTCAGCAAAAAAGGTCTTAAGAAAGGTCGTCTCCTCTCCCATTTCTTGATTTGTTTTCGCTACTCGAGGAATCTGGCTCTCATCACTATCTGGAGATGAACCCAAATCCTCCGGAGACTGAAAGGGAATGATGTGGGTGTGTAAATGAGGTACTGTCTGCCCTGATTCACTACCTTGCTGAATGGCTACGCAATAATCTACATCCTTTGACCCTTGCAGCAGAGCATCACCTTGACGCCTGCGATTGAAAACCTCATTCAGTACGCGGAGGGTCAGAGCCATCGTTTCGCCCCAGTCTTTGAGCTCCCCCTCAGTGAGACCATGAATCGTCCCTACGCAACGCAAGGGCACCACCATGAGGTGGTATGGAAGAATAGGTTTGAGATTCACCATCACGCAGAAGTGCTCAGAACGATACGGTATGCAGGCTTCAACCGAGACAGAAAAAGGGTAAAAGGTAAAGATGGAGCCAGCATTGGGCAAGGTGAGAGATATTTTGACATTCTCGTCGGACTTCGCACGCGCCTCAGCGTCTCGCGAAAGGGGGTCCTGCTCGAACTTGGCCTCGGGCGTTGCCGCGGCCGGGCTGCTGGGGGACACCCCCAACGCCATTTGCGCCTCCGCCGCGGACTGCGCCCCTTGGCTCCGTGTCTGTTGAAGTAATTCGGTGAATCCGTCAATCCTAGGCGACCCACCGGGCCCCGTCTTGTACCACTTAAGGCAATCATAGATTAGATTGTTCGTCACAAAATCCTCCTTGACCCGCTCAACAATGTGCATGCAGAAGAGATTTTCCACGGTGTCACGTTGGGGCGGCGCTACCGCATCCCTGTCTAGGGTGTCCGCAGTTGTAACAGAGCCCTGGCAAAGGCTCGCGATCCCTTGAAAAGAAAAGTTGATGGACGCCCTAGGATGGGTCACCGAACGGCAAAGCACGAGAAGATGGGTCAAGTCCTCCGGCACGAGGTCGTCGACACTGAATTCCTGTCGCGCCAACGAGGAGTTGGGCCTCGTCAGGGAAGGCATCGATGCCATTCGTGGTGGTGTTAAATTCGCAGAAAAGCGTTGGTAGCTTGCGCAGCTGTCGACGGTGGTGATAATATAATGACGGTCCGGTAACAGTTTGGAGACAGCCATATGGGGCGGTAATTTAGCCGCACGCATTGGTAACCGTGCAGATATTCTTTCCTGTGTTACACAATATTATGAAGGGTTACAACCCTTTGATTGATATTTCTATGTGGATATATACATATATTAATATGTGTATTATAGATAGATAGATAGATAGATATAGAGAGAGAGAGTATGTGTGTGTAATGAGGAAAAGTTGTATTGTTTTAGCGTGTAAATTTCATTTAGTGCATATATAGTAAATTAAGTACTAGTATGAGGTGAAAAAGTGTACAGGATGGACCTTTACTGACATTTCATACCTTTCCTTATCATTCATATATGTACCCTCTGTAGATTATATCGGGCCAAGGGCTTGTAAGGGATAGCGGTTCAAAATAAAATAAAAAGATGATTATTAATATCAACAGTATACATCGTTTAAAATTTAACCCTTTATCAGTAGCCATTGGAATGAAATTTCAATGCATCATAAGTCTCCCTTTCTTTCATTAGTGTGGCAATCAACGCAGACTGCTGCTCCAGTGACAACATTTTATCTGAGTGGAAGGATATTTCCCTCGGAATTATCACCATAGTAAAACTAAAAGGCAGCGGTGGGTCAAACTCAATATTAGTCGAAGAAAAACCATTCACATTGTTTGGATTTTTATCAGAAGCATGGAAAGGTTTAAACCCCTTTTGTGCTGAGTACAACTTCTTTGTATCATGAATAATGTTCACATCCTTAGAAATATTATTGGCCCCCGAAGGGGGTGCTGATAATTGGCTCAATCTCACTTGTCTGAAGGCGCTGTTGCGTTCATGGATCGCATTCACTAACCAATTTCGAATGTAGCGAGACACACGCTCCTTAAAGTTGGTGTCTCCCCCGTGGAGAACCTCCCTGGTCATCGTCTTAGGAAGATTCACAGAACTAATAGAGTGTGTTAACACGCTATCCTCACTAGTTTGGTGAGGTGAGGGGAGAAAGGATGCATTCGATTGCTTATCTAAAACAGACGAATCCTTACAAGACCCAGGCTTTACTACGCTTGCATCGATGAGAGAATGAATAGAACACAAATGTGTATCACTTTCACGGCAAGAATTAAGGGCACTTTGCAGTTGCTCCATCCCTTCCAACAACTTTGCAGCTTGATCGTAGCGATCCTCATAGTAGAATACACGTTGTGGTTTCCACTTTAAAATGAGATCAAAAAAAATGTTTAACTTATATTCGGCAGTCCCTATCCCCTCGTGTGGTTTGAGGAAGACATGCTCGATATGTTGAAATAAGCCTACGTGGTCCAACAAATGTTCGATACGCCTCCGAAACCCTTCCTGCCGACCTGTCAAGACGAAAAACAGACGCTGCACAGCGCAATCGCCATTAACGTGCTCGTGAGCGCAATTCTCAGAATTTACATATTGGTGTTGTCGATCTCGGTTCTCATTACAGGACGAAGTTTTCCCCGCAATCAGAGCGCGAAACCAGTTTACGACTGGAGTGATATACCATTGCGATTCAGCAGGTTCGGCTGGTACGGCGGGAGGAGATAAAGTGGACAAGCTCTGGAACCATCCATACCCACTCGAGGACAAGGGATTGAAAAGCTTCCCCAAAACCCTCGCCCCGTATTGTGCGCAAACAAAGCGTCTTTCCGGTGTTGGGGAGAAGAATAACGTCCCATCAAAATCAAAAATGTGAATTTCCATGCCTCCAGGCTGGTTTTAAATATTCAAAAATGTAAAATTTAAAAGAGAAAAGTCCAGATATCTGTTCATATTACATTTATCAAGAAAAAAGGAGCTCAGGTTGGTAATCAATTGCGATCAGGATAAAAAAAAAGGTCAAATAGCACCTATTGAAGAAAATATATTATACTCCACCACTTATAGGCAGTGAACTGTTCGGATTATTATTCAATCCACATACAATTAAAAAATCTAATATATGCAAGTATGCATTTATTCGTATACTCGAGCATCCCCCTTACACTAAAATGTGATTCCACTTCCACACTCTCAAACACAGCGAGGAAAAACGGCAAGACCACCACCGAAGGATGTCGTAAGAAAAAAAACTATGGATACGCCCAAGGAAGAAGAAGAGTAAAGGATTGTTCAATTGTCGTAATCGAATTTTTACAGTAGTAAAACTATAATGCAGGTTCCCCCTAGATACCCTCATCTGCCATAACATGAAGCCCATACGAGGCAAACGGGGAACCATTAAGCTGCTCCAAAAGAGCATCCACCTCCTCAGACACCTCAGTGTCCTGCTCAAAATGATTTAGATTATTGAGCCTTTTCCGTATCTCCGGATGACTTTGCTTCGAAAAACATAGTACCACGATCTTTTCCCGAATTGCTTGATGAACGCGGGAAAACCCGATAGAGGAGATTGCCTCAACCCACTCCTCAACCCATTTCCGGCGCCGAGAACCTTGGGTTCGTGTGCTGACGATAACCAGTAAACCGCCCTCTTTAAGACTCAAATAAGCGTTCACGCAGGCACGATAGCGAAGCCGGGCCGAGGGCAAGTAAGACAATAAGAGACAAAAAAATACCACATCAAACAACTCAAGGGCGACGGCCCTGAGCTCCACCATTTCCCCCTCCGACCCTTGCGGGGCCGCCGGACGAAATCGCAAATAGGCCGCCGGGCATCCTTCATCAAAGGGATGATTCGCGGGCCTGGGAGGGGAAATCTTAAAAAAATCCAAACTTAGCCAATCGCCCTTCCAGACACTTCCGGAAAGCGACGCGCAGCTCTCCAAAGGAGGATTCCGCGGCCCTAACGGGGCGTACGGACAGAGATCCAACCCCACAACGTGGAGGGGGACAGCGCGCAGGACGTCGTGCGGGATGGATTTCGCGAAAAACGGGCCATAGCAGCCCCCCACATCGATCGCGTGGAGGGCGGGGACGGGAAGGACGACATCGCCGGCCTCGGAGGTCGACCACCCCGAAGCTATGGCGTGACAAACAGATTGGGTGTCACAGACGTGCCGCGTGGCTTGGCCGCAGGCCATGTGCGATGTAACAGCCCCCTCTGTTTGGTCGTCCCTCTGGGAAAGGTCCAGGACGGGACCCTCGATTTTGGCCCTTGTAACTGCGGCCTGGCGAATCTGTTGGATGACACGGACGTACCGCATGGCTTGGCCCCAGGCTGTTTGAGATGTAACAGCCCCCCCTGTCTGTTCAGCACTGTTGGACAAATCCAGGATGCGATCCTCGATTTCGGCCCTTGTGGCCGTTCGCGCGTTTGAGCGGAAGAACTCCCGTCGCCAGGGCTTGAGTGCCCGCAAAAAGACCAAAGGCAGGTCGTAGAAAAGGCACTCAGAGGCTCCACCTTTCGCCAGGATGGAGGGCCGTCCGAGATAGAAAGCCGCCACACACTCCAGCGAAGATTGGATCCGGTCATCATAACGGCGCTGGAGAATGGCCCCTTCCTCTTGATCTACGGATTTAATGGAGGCCCTGACGAAATCGCGTGAGCGCTTCCGGATAGAAATCGCATCCGTCGATCCTGCCACCGCCGCTGTTGGAAACGGGGTACTGCTCGTGGTAGAGGTAGAAAGGCGAGACCCCTGATCGTTCCTTTCCCCGTTTCTGGATTGACCCGAATTTATGAAGGTCGCCAAAGGAGCCTCCCAGTACTTAGTCGCGAGATCATGCATGGCCCGCGCGTAGTCCTTCAGCCTTTTTGCCTCGTCGTCGGAGTTTATAAGGCGCTGCCAGCACTTCAGATCATCTTGACAGGTTTGACCATCGGACTCGGGAGCCTCACCTTTGTCGCGCAAACACTCTGAAGTATCGGATTGGGAATGACACTCACGAGAAGAGAAAAACGCGCGTTGTAGGTGGTAGTGCTGTTGTTTGATGAAGTTTGACCATACTAAATGAGGCCGGTCAGAGTCAGAAACAAGTAAAGGGGGCTCATCGGCTCTTTCCTTACTTTCTCCTCTATAATTGATTCGATATTTTTCAGTGCGACTCTTCATCAACAATTTCTTTAAGACTACTTTCTATGAAAAAAATATTTACAACGAACAGTGTGCATGTCCTGAAAAAAATGAGGAAAAGGAAAAATGAGCTTCAGAAAGAGGAACCACGAGCAAAAAAAATAAGGAACCTTCTATTTATTAATAGCTACTTGGTATATAGTTGTTGTTTTATTCAGACGCAATAAAATAGTCTTTTTTTGCCTTCATTGCATTCTGCAGTGGTGTGTCTTTATAATTCAAGGGTAAATTCCATACTTGGACAAAGTCAAAATCAAAAACAGCAAAAAAGAATCATCAGTCCATGTATTGGCCACCATCAAATGAATCACATACCACATCAAGGTCTTGTCGATCCAGCAAATCTTGAATACCTTCAATGGAGTCCACAGTGCTACAGACATTGATGGATTTAAGTGACTTACAAGCTGCCATAAAATTAACATCCTTTACAGCTGTTAATTTTATATCCAACTCTTCTAAATTATCGCACTCAGCAAGATCGGCAATGCTTTTCTCAGTAATAGATGTTTGAGCACAAAAAATACGCCGAATTCTAGGGCAGGTTTGTAAAACATTAAGATCAGAAATATGAATACACCTTGTTAGAACTACCGTATCGAGCTCGGGTGCATCCCTAAGAGCTAAGATCCCACTATCGGTCAGACTAGATGCTGGGGCATCCAAGACTCTAAGAAATGGCATCGATCCGAGAAAGGAAATGTCCTCTACAGTGGAATTGGCCACCCGTAAGAGTTCTAAGTATTTACACCCCGCCAGCATATCCAAACCGTCGGTCAACTCCGCCTGCGAAACGTCCAGAAAACGTAGCCGGTGCAGCATCCCTAACGGCTCAAACCCATTTAATTTTTTGCAGTTTTCTAAAGATAGATATTCTAAGTTGTCCTTTAGAAAAGAGACTATTTGATCAAGCGTTTCTGTGCGAATGGGGGTGTCGGAAAGCTGGAGTGTTTGTAAATTGAGCGCGTGATCGTGCTGAGTGATCAACGCGAGCGCCCCATCAATATGCGTACTACAAAGCGACAACACGCGAAGATGGGGGCCGAGGTTGTGTAAAAAAATATTAGAAGTGTCGTCGTAGGCATTACAATTCTCGATGGTTACCTCCTCCAGCGATGCGGCGGTCTCGCTGGCAATCTCATTGAGATCGCTCAGCCTATGGCAAGAGCGGAAAATGAGAGTTTTGAGCAAGGGGAGAGAAAGATCCTGAACCCCATCATGCTCCAAGGGGCAGAAAGCCACCTCAAGCTTCTCAAGCTTCTTTATCAAACTAGCATTCCCTATCGAGGTTAAACTTCGACATGAAACAAACTCTAATTCTCGTAGATTCGTTAAAGTGGCAAGCGTTTCGAAGGATGAGTCATCAATATGGGAGTAGTGAAGTACGAGTTTGGTCAGGCCGTTGGCGACACGTGTATGGTAGCGGCTGAGCACCCGCGCACTTACGTTCTGAAATTTACGCCCAATAGGAGAAATCGAAATCAATTCAAAGCAACTATTGCCTTTGTCATCCTCTTGAGCATTAAAAAGCACACATTGACCATAACAGGACAGCATCATTTCATTGTAGCCAGACCAAGGACTTTGGGTGCTTTGTACGCCTCGACGAAAGGGTTTAGAAACACATCGCATCGCGGTGAGAGTGCGTCGATTAAAAGGAATGTACTTCATCACGTCATGCAGCATCTCGAGGCTATCGATGGTCCCAGTGAAGGGATCCATTGACGATTGAGAAAGCATTCGATTTCAATGGCTATCTAGTTTAATGCTGCTACTGTAGACGGGCAATGACTCAATCCCTTGGTGGGATGTTGGGAAACTCAATTACTATTAAACCGCGAAGAATATAGCAAACCAATGAAGGGAAAAAAGGGGGAAATGTTAAAGAAAGCGAGATATGGTAATAAAAATTTAGCTATAACAAGTGGGAATACATATTTTCAGGATGATAAAGAAAAATCAATCCACTCCTGCAAAAGGACTAGAATATTTAAAGTCCTATTTCCGCTAGAGTGGATAGATTTATTAAATAAAAAGGAATAAGAATTTCCTGAAGTAATACACAATATTCCAAACACTTTGAAATAAGAAATAGAGTTATATACCCTTCTAGCGTCTTATGTAAACTGTAGCTTTGTGTGTGTGTGTGCATATGTGTAGAGGAGAGTGAGGGGAAGGTATAAAGTATTGAGCCCGTTAAATCGCTTTTTTTCATACTTTAGCCTGAATGTTAAGTCATGAAAAGTTATTTAACCTTGCATGTGGGTTGACCTACATGGAACACCATTTCCGGTAATATACTGACCCTCTAAAGTTATAATACCTACCAATGATATGAGTGAGTGATACCATTAGGAATAACCTCAACACCTGCACTTGACTTTCTTTGACAATGAAATGGTAAACGCAAATACGTGCTGAGTATCACCTTACTTTTGCACACTCTTATCCACCTGGACACGAGTCTCTCTAAATGTTAAAGCCATTTCAGCTGAAGAACTTCAACAAAGGGTTTGACAAAATATTTATCCACTTAATGGATAAACTGGCAAACAAAAAAAATCGTAATAACCATTGCAGACCCACACGGTGGTCCAGTCAAATGTACTGAATTAAGCCGTATCCATTTTTTGTTTATAGTTGATGATGGATCTAATATCAGATTGGTTTTCTTGTTAATTTAATCTGCTTCATCACGACTTATAAAAGGTGCTGTATGGAATTTAATGGAATTTCCTAGAATAGACACAGGTTGTCTTTATCTGAGAACCAAGACTGACCTGAATGAGGAGAAAAAAGGATAATAGAATCCGTACAATAGTAAAATTTGAACTTACATGAGATGCAAATATGGCGTTAGATTTGTATAATAAAAAGCAATATATAAGCTAAAATTATTTAAAATCTATCATTGACACTATATACTTTTTCTATGACTCATTTAGCTAAACAAAATAATGCTTCAAGTATATAACACGATGGTGGAATTTTAATAATACATTTCCCCTCTCACTCTGTAGTCCCTTATGTGATATATAAAAAGTATGCCGACGGTGACTTTTTAGTTTCAACTGAATATTCACTTACTTGAGGAACTACCATATTTTTATCAAATCTAAAATCAGCTATCAAGTTTGATGAAAAAAAAGATTAAGTATTCATGTTAGATTGCAACCTAAATCTTGAAGAATACCGTGTGACAAAAATAAAATACATTTGTATATATTTAGCTATCAACTTTAGTTTATAGATACAGCTATGTATAATAGCTACACTTCGGTCATAATCATGGTCTAAGATTCATCCTTCTGGGTACAGAAGCTCAATGAACAGAGGCTCCGATGTTCTTCAGTGAAAAAGTCATAGCAACATTGAATTGGAGGTCCATTACGCGAGTCAAACAATGAGGCTGGTGGAATCTTTACCTCCATGTATTTATAAAACGGTTTCACAGAAATGCCGGTAAGATCACCTAATGTCATGTAAAAATCCAAAGGTGTATTTAAACGTTTCATTCGATCTTGAAAATTTTTCATTGATACACCTGTAGGACGGCCCTTGCGCAGGTCTACACGTCGCATGACCTCAGGATGCATAATGTACAGCATTGCAGGTGTCGTGCGCTCAAATTGGCCAGCATTTGTATATTCGTAGTAGGGCCCCATGTGGTTTCCATGATCACTGGCAAGGATAAATGTATTGAGTGGATCGTCAAAGAAGCGTAAATCCTCCTCAATATGACGCATAAAAGCAACCAGGGCATCATCAACCAGTCTGATTACACTGTGCGTACCTTCATGTGATTCCATAAAGTATGAGATATCGAAAAAGTACTTATCCCTCTTGAGCCCTGAGTCACAGGACCTGTCGGCCTGGGCCTGGGTCCCCAAGTTCGTTGTCGTCGTCGTCGTCGCCGCCGCCCTCTGACGAAGCTGGCGTCGAAGCAAGTGCCTTGTGTAGTCCAAGATATGCTCGTGGACCTGGCGGCCGTCAATGCAGCGTCGGAAGATGCAATAAGGGCCCTGAAAATTGCTGTGAAGCCCGGAGTACTCCAGATGACAAAGGGGCTGGTAAAGGTAATAATCCACCCCCTGAACCCGCCCACCGGTCCCGCTGCTGGCTTCCCGATTACCGATGATGGCCTCAAAGAAGTCGTGGCAGGACCCAACTGTGAAAGCGGTGCTGAGCGCGGACCCGTATTTGGCCTTTGCGATGTTGAAAATTGTTCGATCCATCATGTCAATCTCGGACTCGCTGGGGTAAGACATTCCCACAATGGTGGTTCCGGTAAGATAGGGGCAGAGGTTCCCAGCCGTGCTGTGTCCCAGTGTCGTGATGGCCTTGGGCTCAAACACGTGATGCGCCGTTGCGGAGTTGCTCGATCGGCGTCGCTGGAAGTCCCGCACCCATGACACAAAGCCAGGAAGGGAACGGTGTGCCCCTTGCCGACTCAGGGCATCAATCAGGATAATCAGCACGTTCCCCGCGGGCTCATCCACACCATCCGTGCTGCTACACGCCGTGTCAGGCTGTGGACGCGTTCCATCGGCCTCCAGAGGAAGGTCAGGGTCTGAAGTGTGGCGAGCTACCCCCTTCACGGGAAATAGGAAGAACTCCTCGTGGTGCATCGCGGGGCAGCGCACGATGTAGGCGGCTGAATTCCCCAGAGGAACCTCGAACACTTTGTTGGACGCCCAATAACGACGCGCGTCGAGTTCTTTTTTGGATAGAGGCTCACGCTTCACCGGAATTAACCTTGACGGGTCGATTTCCACTACAGAAATATATCCGGTTTTAGTATCACGGTGCACTATCACACCCTCCTTCATCGCTTTCTCTGAGGTGCCGTATTTAGCCTCCAACTCAGCATGGTACTTCTTGTCACCGGTGGCGACCTCATCCAGTAATGGTTCAACGTGTCCGTTCATCTCGTTATTCTCGGGGGATTCCAAAAGGATCCTCGGCTTCCTGCCATTCCTGCACAAGGATGATACGACTAGGACTTCCATCGTCTCGTCTAGGTAACCGACATTTTTCTTAATATCATTAACGCACCCCCTATCTCCCCTTATACGCTTAATCAACTTCCAAGGGACCAAATTTGGCAGAACCCACGACTTACTTAGTACAGGATTCAGCTTCAGGCCCTCCGCCTCGCACGGATCGCAAGGTTCTTCTAGGATCCCTAAACGCAAGCTCGAGATTGTGTCCATAGAAAATATTCGGAAAGATATGAAAACCAAAGTAAACATAGTTAAATTAAATAATATTATAATGGTGAAAATACCCATCCAATTGCAACATTTTCCAGATCGAATTTTCGAATGGCCATACTTGGGTGGTGCACAGAACAAATGGTACAAACACAGTAGAGTTAAAACTGACCATACGATTCCGTCTATGGTTAACCGCATTAACGCTAACAAAATCTCTTGTGATTGTCGGTGCTTGTAAGGAACAGCCCGATGAACAAAAATATGAATTATAAATAAAGGAAGGGATGCTAAAATAAACGATTGCAACCAAAAAAAAAATCTTTTAGATGTTAACTCCCTTGACTCATCAGCCTCGTCAAACAGTTCAACAACCGAGGCATGAGATTGTAAAGTATATGGTATAGAACCTCCGAAACGTCTAAAATATCGAATTAACCTTCGACACCTTAAAAACACTCTGCGAAGAGACCACATGCTAGTTGGCACAGAATGAAGATGTCTTACATAAAGTAGATTGATAAGTAAAACGTTAACTATCGAAGCGGTCACAATCGAGAATAATTCCAACAGCATAAGATGGAATTTTCCTGAATTACGAACAGAATAAAATTTCGTGAACAAGATAAGCCATGATATACTAAAGAAAAATCCACTTCCAAAGAGGGTTAGGATCAATTCCAACCTTCGTGGCGTAGTTGATTGTCTTTTAGATTTTCTAAGTCTCATCGTAGTTTCTATATACTTCAGTTTACTTCAATCAAATTAATCTTTTGAAATTTTTTCTAGGAGATTTATCAAGCCTATAGTGCTCCGTCAAGAAAAAAAGCAATAAGGTTAAGTGAAATTGCCTTTCGTCATAAAAAAGATCAGAAAAAAGAAATATTGATTTTTATTTTATAGAATTAATAGAGTCAAAAACTGATAATAATATGTTCACTAAAAAAAAGACTATACAATTTTCACAGTTTATGAACTCAAGCAGTGTCGTGGAATTTTTTTAAAAGTTGTTTAACTTTGGGAAACACAAACTGACCGTAAAACAGTACACAAACCCTGTGACAACATCCACACCCATACACTTACAGAGAACATGTCAAGGATTTATTCCTCCTTCCCTTCGAGAATATGTTAAATCTTCAGCTTAAATCATCATAGAACCGGCTTACTATTTTTAACATACTAGCACCGGAGTAAGATGAAAAAAAATGTATTAATGATGATGCTTACCATGTGTATTATCGCATGATGGAAACCGAATAACAAAATTTTTTTTCAAGTCAATAACGACAAAAAAATGGGTTTCATCTAAATCACAACCTCTGCCGCCCAATACAATGCAAATACTGTAGCGGGAAAGGAAAAGTAGGATAACATTATGAAATAATGGGAGCTAAGCTATCTGAAACAGGCGAAGATATTAAAAAGTTGTGATCATTATGACCAATCGCATTTAATCCTAATAAGAAAGTCAATCGCACTATGCACAGAACGCACGCACTTCTTGCACATAATATGTTTAAACTAAATGCTGGAGCTTGATAGATAACTATATATCATTGACCAAAGTTGTGTCAACAACAAGGATAATGCTAGTGAAATACACAATTCTGTTTTAGCACACCTCAGATTCCATAGTTGATGGGTGAAGAATCGAGCAAAGATCCGTCAATAAAGGGGTAGAGGCTCCTTTTTTACGAAACTTCTGCACTACCGCATCGACTGCTGCAAACTGCTGTGTTAAGGAATCTCTCTCCTCTAAAAGCTCACCTAATTCATGCAAAGAAGGAATATTTTCGCGCGACATTTCGGGCTCTTCCTGTCTTTCCTCCAACGGTTGTGTTGAAGGCCCACGACGAGTAAGGTTGGAGAAGTAATTATCATGTGCTCGAATCACCACCCCCTCTAAAGCCTCCACTTCCCGACGAAGATTACTAAGAAAAAGCTTGAAATCTTCCGGTATTAATACCGAACCGGTTTGATAAAAAGGTGAGGAAGAGAGAGCATTTCGTTTCTTATTTTCTGCGTGCGACCTTGGGGTATGATGGAATTTTCGAGGAGTGGTGGAGCTCACTACTTCTCTTGGACTCATTGGTGACTCATCACCCTTCTGCAAGAGATGTAAACTATTGATAGCCACATTCGGTACTTCATTTTCAGATGCAGAGAACTCGTTCACCTCGTAATTATTCATTTTATCCTCGTCAGTTCTCAAAAATCTTGCAGGATCCTCATAAAAAGGTTGTTTTTTCACAACCATGTTATCGCTAGAGGAGGCTGCGCGAGGTTCAGAAGGTTGGAAAAGTACCTTGCCCCCTCGCCGGGGAGTCACCGTTTTCTTTTCTAGGCGTTTCTCCTCCAACAAAATAATTGCGCGATTTAACTTCACCCCTTCCACCTTCCCCGACTCTTGATGGATCTTCTTCTTCAACGCCGACTTCGAGTACTCCGCGAGGACGCTTAACATGAACCGATGAAGCCACTGAAGGAGCCGGACGTGGTCCTGAAGCCTCCCCTTGACCAAGCGCTCCACGTCGATCTCGACCCGATACTTGGTTGGGACACAGCCACGAAGCATCTGCTGTAACAGTCGCAGGTTCCGGTCGCAGGCCCGTTGCACACGGAGGCCATCCCGTGCGGCCTCGACGCCCTCGCATACCGCGCGTGTGGGGCTGAGGTCGAGCTTGGCGAGGAAGGCCTTAGCCCGACGGGCGTAGGTGGTGAGGGTGGGAGCCTCCGATAAGCTACAGCCCGCGGCGTTCGCAGCGATGCGCCGGAGCGCGGCCTCGACGAGGGTAACGTAGGCCACCCCGTCACGGAGGGATGTCACCGCAGGGTACTCCACACTACAAAGACCATTAAGCCAGCGAAGGAGCTCACTTCGGCCTTGTGGAGAAGCGCTTCTGGAGCGAGGCGGCATGTGACAGGTCCTTGTTTTTCTTTTCTATTTGAAGAGGAGAGAGGAGGGCTGTTCGTGTTACTTTCAAAGACGTCAATTAAACTCCTCAAAAAGAAGACACTAATGATAATGGCGCTAAAAGGAACTGTACAAATATAGAAAGCATGAAAACAGACTACGACGCTTCCTCTGTGCTTTCTGGTTTTAGACTAAATGATTGTTTGGGTAACAAAAAAAGATGGATAAATTCCACACACAAATGCATGCATGCTAAATATCAAAAGAATCCCCACATGGAAAATGAGATATATTTTAAGGTTCTTTTAAAAGTGATAATCATATTGAGGTACAACAATCGTCTATATTCTTCTTCCTCTTCTCTCAAATACACAAAGATCAGTAAAAAGAAAATAAAAAATGAAGAAAGGAAAATATTTCGTTTAGAATATTTTTATACTATGCGAAAGGATTAAACTCTGCTTTGAAGTTTGCATTGTCAGTATCGTTAGAACTACAAGAAGATGTTTCAGTGAATTCCCCTTTTCTGACAAGAGTCACTGCGTAAGATTGTGGAGGTGTCTTTTCCTCTTTCACTAATATCGTAGCTTTTTGTGGGGCTGCCTTATCAACATTGGAATCTGAATCTAACACAGTATAAAGTGAGCTATTTTGTAGTAACCCTTGATTAGTTTTTTCAGAAGTAGTCAAATAATCCGCACCACTATTGGAACCCTCCATTCCTGTTTGGATTTCATTTGGGCTTCCTTCTTGGAGGGGAGTATTGGGATAAGAATAACGAAGTCGTTGGCTAACAGGAATAGTTTCTTCTTCGACAGGCGACACAGTGGAGAGAGGGGTATGAAAAGCCTCATCACAAAAGTGAACCTGCAAATTCATTGGTGAACTGCTCGACGTAAATATAACCTGTGAAACAGAATTGCTATTTCCGTCTTCCTGTGCGTCAACAAAATCTTGTGTATTATCTTTTTCATTAGCTTCGCTTTTGCATGATGAATTACTTTTCGCACAGATGCTATCATACTCATTCTTCATTGTGGATTCCTGCTGAGATGCAATGGCTGTAATTACCTTTAGTGGTTGAAGAATTAAATCCCCATCATTCCGTGGAGTAATAACAGTGGATACTGTAGAGTTTGTTTTCACAGTATGAGTTGCACTATCGTGCTCCTCAAAGGGGCTTTTGTTCACGCGCAAGGGAGAAACTTCTCCTCTTTCCTCAACGCTCCTGTTGCTGCTTCTACTTCCCGCACTTATTCCTCTTTCATTCATCGATGGATTTCCAGAAACTTCTTCTACGGGTAAATCACCCAAGTTGAGAAATATTTGATTGTTTGAAGGTATAACAGGTTCCTTATCACACCCTTCTTTGAACTCGGAATGTGGTAAAAAATGCGTGATATCAATATTTGTATCAGTGTTGTGAAAAGAAGGCAAAGGTCCATCAAAAAGTGCACCGAGAAGGTCTAATTCGTGTGTTGGGGTTATGGTTTCCTTCTTTACTGAATGCTTTTCGATTTCGGCAAAGACATCTCGTACGAGGTGCATATCCGTCTCATTACAGACCGTATCATCATCATTACCAACTCTAAAAGAATACATACTAGTGGCCTCATCTAAACACGCCTTTGCCAGCTCGTTATATTCGCTTAAAGCATTACCGTAAAGGATAAGCAAAATATCGAGCGCAGAGTAGAATTTAGAATAGTTCTCTTTTTCAAAATCAAATAATAATGTTTGTTTTGGGTTGAGTTCACTGGGTGCACCATCCTTGTCCTCATCATTTGATTTAGATAAAAGTTCTTGCGTGTAATTTATAGAAAATCCAGGATTTGTAGTTCGAGCCTTTTCTTCCAGAAACGAAATTCCATCCTCTTGCTCCTGTGCAACAAGGCTTTCCTTAGTTACCATCTTTCTATCCTCAAATACGCGGTTGTGTGAATATAATACACAAAAAGGTCCCCATAATTGAAACCAGCTTACTAGATCCTCCAATCGCGTTTCAGCCCAGCATAATAATATCTCATTACGTCCTTTCTCCTCAAGATATAGTAAATCCCTAAACATATTTTTGTAAATTTCATTGAAAGTTAATGAGGTCGTTTCGTCAATCAAATGCTTTCCGTTCATATTTGCACTAGTACTATCAATATTTTTTTGTTCATGACGGGCAAGATTAAACGGAGAGCCATCAGTTTCCGTTTCTGCATCGTATAATGCTCTAGGGAGAACTACCGAATTAGGGCTCGCCTCCGTCGAAAGATCGTCTTCCTTTACCTTATCCGATCCTCCCTGTGAACTATTCAAAGCCTCGCGGAGCTGAAGACGTTCCGTGTAGAGGCTCTGAATCTCCGCCCTCTGCCGGACGAGCTGCTCATTCATAAAGGTAAAGAGCTCCGCCCGACTGCGCTCCATCTCGTTAAACGCGTCCTGGCGATCCGCCTCGGAGGCCTGCATGGTTGCAAGGTGGGCCTCATAGAGCTCAATTCGCTCGAGTAACGCGCGCTTCTGGGGGGTGGGGTGGCGAACCTGAATCCGTCCCAAGGCGCGAACATCCAAAAGAGGCGGGACGGAGGGGCCTCCACGTCCGGGAAAGGGGGTTGTCTCAGGGGAAGAGCCCCATTTAGAAGATCGCCCAGACTCCTCCGTCCGGGTTGTGTGAGGGAAGGCCACGGACTGCGCAGGAACTCGAAGAAGGCCCTGGCCGGCTTTGACAGGACGCGCTGAGTTGCCCGCCGCCGTCATCCTTGGAGGATTCGCGATGGGGGTGGGGGCCACCTCAAGAAACGTCTGAGGAAGGCTCGGGGCGAGTTGACGGGCCCGTTGGGAGCGCCCTAATTCTAAGATTTCCGCTTCCAAAGCGCTACACTGCTCGCGAAGCTTGAAATTCTCAGAAAGGCATAACTTTCTTTCATCTTCGGTGTGCTTAACAAGTCTTTGTAGGGTATTCTTCTGATCCTTAAGTGTACTGATGTGTGATTTTAGAGCTACATCGTCGATAAAATTTTCCTCCATGGCCGCTTTGTGAGTCCCCCCTCCCATCTGGTGAATCCTTTCCTCCTTACCTTGTTGAGATACAATACTCGAATAAAATGCATTGATCTCCATCAACCCCAAAACCTTTTCCTCAAGTTTCGCGATTTTCTCATTTTTTTTCGCCAAAATCGCCATGGATGCGAGAGCTGCAGCCGAAGGTGCTCCGTGCTCGTTCGCATGGGAGTCTTCATTAGGGGATTGGGAGCTGACTAAAAAAGAGCTGCTGCCGCTTGTTCGCTTGCTTGTATCTTGTGGCCCCAGTACAGTAGAATGTTGTACATTAAAAGAATCACCATCCGTTTGATATCGTGGATCTTTGCCATCTTTTCCGACTGTCTCAAAACGCTTTATCAGCATACTAATAGTCTCCTCATCGTTGGCGGATTTCTCCGTCAGAATTGTATTATGTTGCCGTAGGGCATCGATCTCGTAGTTGCCATCCCGCACAGCCGCCTGAAGCTGGAAGATTTGTTCTTCCAGCTTCTTTACCACACCATCGGTTCCCCTGGCAGGGCTCTGCAATCGTTGAATATCCTGGCGTAGTTGCTTTACGATATCAATCAGCTGTTCCTTGGTGGCATCCTTGATATTTAATCGATTCATTGGGCTTGAAGAAAAGAAAATAAATAAATGGAATACGAGGAAAGATTCATAACATGTTAAGATAAGATTAGTAATAATTATAAAACTTAATTGCTTAGTGTTCAAATTAGAATCTACAAGGATTCATTTAGCCTGAAGCACAAATAAAGTAAAAGGGGAAAACGACCCGTGCAATTGTTACAAAAATCTATGGATATGAATATGGGATCTCATATTGATACCTATAGATTAGGAATAATAAAGAAAATTGGCATTTGGCTTTTTGGAATAATAATAACGTATCTGTGAATAGAACAATGTTGTAAAGCATTAACCTAATCATAAAAAAAAGTGATCATTCGATTAATCCATGTATATAGCTACTCACAATAGTTATTTATATTTAAATTAAAACAAAAAATATATTATACAAAGTTGCTCAAGGATATGAAACATATAGCTAAATAACCCTTACGGAAAACTTCCAATTTTTCTTGAATCCAGATGAAATACCAACTTTGTATATATTTCTTTGAATAAGATAAAAACACAATTTGTAAAATATTGTGAATACATAAACATGATTGATCCTTTATCGTATTTCAAAAGAAATCTTTTATTATTAAAATCATTTACCAAACTACTTGCGCACTAACCAAATTTTTGGGATCCGCCAATGATTTTATATGAGCAAGAAGATCATCCAATTCGATTTGGAAACGTTTTATTTGCTGATTTTTTTCCTCTATAATTAATGCCATTTTTTCTTCCAGCAGCCGTCGCTCAATTTCTACAACACGTATAGATTCTGAAATTTCAAAAGCCGCATCCTCTTCCCTTTGTTTGCATCGCTTTTCTAAATAGTTTAACCGATCTAAAACAGCTAATAAAAACTTTTCAGACTTACCATTGCCAGCCATTTTTATTAACTTGTGATTTAAGAGCTTTATATCCTCATTGGTGTTTTTCATCTTCGTAATACGATCCAGCTCTACCTGCTGGGTGATCCGAAGGCGATTTATCTCATCGTCATGATTTTTATGAATAAGCCGCAGTTGTTCGGAGTGATTTTTTTTCATGTCTTCTACGCATCTTTCCCAATGTTTGTTTAAAACATCTATAGACCTGTAATTATCCGACAAAAGTTTTTCGTACTTTAACAGCTTTTCGTTAAGAAGCACAGTATCGGAATCTATGTTGTGTGAATATTGTGTGATTTTTTTTTCAACTCCTTCAGTTTGCTCCTTGTCTTTCAACTTAAGCTCAAGTTGATAAATCCTTTCGTTGTATTTTGAGCAAATAATATCAGACTCACCCTTCAGTCGCTGCAGAGCGGACGCCATATACCTCTCTTTCTCCATCAATGCATCTTCCAATTGATGAATTCGAGAGTCCTTCATTCTCAAAAGGCGGCTTTCTTCTGATATCTTGGAACCATGGTTTGTGTTAGATACATGGGTTTCTTGCCTATTCTGTAAAGATGATTCAAAGTTACTACTATTCGTTTGAGAACCCTTGGGTTCGCAGTTCTTCTTGACCATTTTCCGATGATCAGACAATCCCATTTCTTGAGTATTCATGCTTCCTTTAGCCCAGCTTACATGCTTGGAATCACTATTCCCATGATGTATACCACCTGTCATAGATATTTCATTAACTATAAAACCATCTGTAAATGTGCATTTATCTTCAAGTTTCCTAGGTTCGATACTTTTTAGCCGAGCTTGCAATCCTATTTTGGAGTTCTCTAATTCCTCATACCTACATTTCAGTTCATTAATGGTAGTCATCAGCCTTTGAATGTCATCCACACGTTTTTGGTTTATTTGAGCTTCACTTTCTACACTGCTTACTAAGAGACTATGTTTAGCCTCTAGATTTGCAATATAATTGATAAGTTCATTATTTTTCAGTGAGAGTTCCTTATTTTTGCTTCGCAGAACCTCGTTATCTTTTTGTAATGCCACTATAATTTTTTCCTGTATTAACATTTCCGAAGAAACTTCCTTGAGCTCAGCTTCAGAAATTGACTGACCCGAGATCAACTTGGCTAGGACTCCTACTTTTGTTTTTTCCCCTTTATCAGCTTTGAAATTACTTGTAGTAGGGGTGCAATCAGTTATAATCTTTGTTGCTATAGAATTCTTCATAGGTTCGGCTTGTCTAGATTGAGAAAAGTTTCCATTAGCTATGGTCAACACCTGTTCTTTAGTGGTCACCCGTGTAGTTGAAGCTTCATCAGAGTTCATGATTATAATACTCTAAAAAGAACAATAATAATACATTCACACAGCACTATAACTGTGCTATTGAAACCAAATATGGGTCAAATAAAAATGAAAAAAAGGTAAAACAAGGATAAATTTGAAAGGAATATAATCAGAGTAAACATATATATATATATATATATATATATATTATTACTTTAAGATATTTAATGTTGTCATACCTTTCAGCTACAAGGGAAGGGATCAAATAAAACGTAACATCACAGATTTTTATTATAATAAATGTCTTACATGATATCATAATGCAGATGAAGCTGAAGCAAATATTGGGTTATGAAATAAAGAATAAACAACGCCTATCAACATAACACTTTAAGCTTAAGTCTTCAACTATGCGTCAGATGAAAATACCTTTGAAATTGGTATGTGTTATATTGTAATTCTTCAATGCATTAAACCATATTCAATTTGATTCCCCTCAAGTGCCTTCAAAGGACCTATGATGATACGTTTAATTAAACATTGGTACATACTTGGAATGTATTGAAATTTCAAGACAAAAACATCTGAATTTTAGGTCCAATACCCCGTGACTCAATGATACGAAATTGATCGTTGATTGTAAACAGCAGTATATTAAAGAAAAAGAATAAATGACCTCTTTGGGACTTAAATTCATGACAATGCTTAATTCATTGGTTCGTGGAGCTTAAGATAAAACAAACGTAATTGAAGTAAGTTTTTTCTAAAGAACTCTAGATACAAGGAAATATTTGTTAAATAAAAAGTGACTAATCCAGTTTAATAGAATATGTGTCACCTTCTAGACTAATTTAGTGTACGCATGTATTGTGAGTGAACATGTTAACTAAAAAACTTCAACAAGCTAGAAAACTGTGTTTTACAATGAGTACGAAATGAAATTTTACTTAAAAGTGGGAAAAAAAGCACCGTAAAGTTAATGCCTTTCAACCTACGCAGTGGAAACTAGTGCATTTGTCATTGAAATATCCAAAAGGCCCATATCTTGAAAATTTAAAGCTTTAAATTAGTAGCACAACGTAATAAGTTACCTTTTCTAAATGAATTGCTATGTATAAATAAGGAAACTTAATAAAATTCATTATATAGTATCACAATGTAATGTAACATACTCGCATAAAACCCTGTGTATTCTTTTTCTCTCTTAGATAAACTGATAAATTATTATAGCTACTCTATGAGTTGAAGCAATAAAAGTGAGACATCAATCATATAATTAATGATATTATCTATAGATTATCTAACATATCTTTCTTTTCTAAAACTAATACAACAACTATTCAAGAATAAAATATCAGGTGATATGGTTCTAATTTCTTTAAAATTTCCGAGAAGTCAGAAGTAGTATAACGACAGAACCCCTTGCAAATCTAGATAAAATCTGGTGTTTTGAAATTTAACACAGACCTAATTTTCTCAATAAATCTATATATATATATAATAAACGTATCATTATAGGGGGTTGAAATAAAAGCTCAAGTACTCGTTTAGACACACTTACCCTTTTGCAAATAAATTAGACTAATGGCAACAAAATAAGAACAGCAAATGTGTTCAAAATAGATCCAGTGGAGTAACTTTTTACCCTTTCTTGCATTTGGTAAACTATGGAACAGTTTAACATATCAGATATGGTATTCACACATAAAATACGGCTTTATAAAGTGGAAAGGGTGGAAAAAAAGAAGTTCGTAAAATAGAAACAGCGAAAACACCAACCCCTCACTAAAAATTCCAGGGCTACTTGGAAGCCCGTCACCCAGAACGCCGGAAAAAAAATACAAATCCACTGCACCATCAGGAGAAATACTACGTTCGGAAACACCCCATAGAGTGAAATACTCTTCTGTACAGTTTACTGAAATGATCCCCACGTCAAAAGTTTGACCAAGAGGGGGGGGGGAGTAGGGAAATTCATGAATACATAAAGGAAAAATAGAATGGGATGGCTTGGCACCAAATCCAAAAAGCGCCAGAAAAAAAACTGCAGACACCCCTTCCACCCCATGATACTATTTTTATCCGTCGCCTCCGAGAGCGAAACCCAATCAGAAAATTTTAAAAG